TATGCCTACCGTTAAACGACAAATTTCTTGTCTAGAATAACGATTTTTGGAAAGAAGGTGTCATTGCAAGACTATGCTGAGACTGATTAAGTTGTGCCTTTTTTAAATAATTTGAAAAGTTTTACATTTTCAAATTACTGTGAAAAAACTAGGAATTAAGTGTTCATGAACGCATAGCGTCAGCACCAAAACTTGGGTTTTTCTAAAGATGTTTTCTGACAGATCTGAATACAGTCTGGGATTACTTTGTTTATCAAGTTTTGCAATAAAGATTTATTGTTAATTTTGAAAAGAAAAAATTCATTATCGATCTTTATTAAGACAGTCATGTAACTCAAAAGACAAAAGCTTTGTTATGTAAATTGAGAGGTGTAGAAGAATCTGTTTTTTCAGCATATTACTTTTTGTATTTGAACGACGTGCTTTAAGTGTACGAGTGTAGCCGGTCTTTATCACTTTGTCTCAGAGGAAATGGAGCCTGCGATTTGTTTTTGCAGAAAGCAATTCGTATTTTCTAGCGTTTTTTAGTAGCACATGTTATTTGATTGCTTCCCGGAAAGACTCTTGACGCCGCGGAGGTATATGGGAAATCATCGCCATTGCACTGCGCATCGATAGGTAAGTTTTTTGAAATAGCTTACAGATTGTGTTACCGAACAATATTGACTGTCTCAAATTCTTTCCTAATTGGCGACTTGAAACTTAGAAACTATGCAATACAATTGGGTAAGCTGCGATGTTCGGCCATAAAGCCTCAACTTGCTTTAATCGCTGAAGTTTTTTAAAGAAGTTATATTTTTGACTAAAATATTAGCAATTCTTTGTTTTAAAGACTGTAAAAAGCAGTTTTTATTTCAGTTTCTTCTGATTTCTTTTGCTTCTCGCTTTGTCTCTTTAAAACTGTAGGCTGAGTACGCGCATTTTGGCGTCACTAGGAGTCTGAATGCTTACAGATTTAGCCAATTAAGCGTTAGGTTAAGAGTTTGCCAAAGTTATTTAAACCTAGTGGTTTTCAGAGTTACAGAGTAAGATGGTAAATAAAGAACAATAAGTTGTGCCTAAATTTTTTTTATCATTAGAACATTGAAGGGTACAGTACAATACGTTTAATGAGGGCTTAGCAGCATTTTCACGGATACTCGAAGAGCTTACATTTCTCTTTCTCCGCTGACCAGTGGAACACTGAAATGAAATTCCCCAAGTTGCATGTATTCCTGAAGCACAAAACTGGCTGTTTGTAAACTTTTAACTGTATAAGTTACTGTAAGATTCAGAAATATTAAAGAAGTTCAGATGAAAACTTTGTGCCAACTGACATATTCGTATATATTTGACTCTTAATCTATATAAGCAAGAAAAAAGACTAGCAATAAAACTGCAAAGTAATAAAAATATTAAAGATAAAGTAGAAAAGTAATAAAAATTCTTGCTACTTTTCGTCATTTGGTGACGACCTG